GGCGCGGCCGCGTGCGACGGGCCCAGCGGAGGGACAGGATATACCACAGATGGATACACGGGCCAGGAGACTGCACCTCTCGCAGCAGCAGCGTCGGCTTGAGGAGAAAGGTCTCGACGCCCGTCGTGCCTTACATGCGTTGTAAGGCGCGATGCTTGCGTTGATTTTTTTTTCTTAGTATATGTCGACGCGGCTGCGTGCGGAGGGTGCGATGGATGGATGCATAGTCGAGCGCGGTCTATGAACACCGTACGGAGCAGTTCCTCGTGCGGGCATCAGCGCCTCTAGTCGGCAGAATCCATCGTCGTCCCTTCGCGCTCGCCTCATGCGTAGCCGTGGAGTGCGGTCATTGTTCTATCAACTAGAGGCGCGGCTGCTCCTCGCGCTGGCCACTTCACGTGCTTCAACAACACATGATGATAGGAAGGATGGGCGGGGACGACGTACGATTGCGAAGGGCCCGCGCCTGGCATTGGCTACTGCCCCTGCGTCGGAAAGAAACACCGCAACCTCGGGCGCTCGCAAGATGCGCTGTGCGCCGGGGCGGCAGCCTTTTTTTTTCAAACGTAGAGGGCGATTGTGCTTGCTTTCGGGCGGAAATTGGCGTGCGAGTATGCGTCGATGTAGGGTTTCTGTTGTACATGCACTATTACATGTATCTGTCGCGCGTCTGAATATATGTCGAATTTAAATCTTTGTTTGTGGATTATCAAGATAACGCTCGTGTCGTATACGTAGCCCCAATTCTTCGACCGGACGAGCGAGCTTCGACTGCAAGAAAGACGTGTGAGAGTACTGTGTGAGAGAGTGGTGAGCTAGACGCAGTCTACACGCCAAGATGTCCGGGTTAGGGTTAGGCCACGCGCACGCGGCCCGAGCGGCCCGCTTTGGCAGCGCGACGACGCGGCATCGAGCTGACCTTCACCTCGAACGACGATGCGACTGTCGCTTGGTCGCAAAGAACAGTCGCTTTGTGGATCCCCGGTGGACACACTTAAACAACACTGGCTAACGGGACTTTGTGGTCACAAATGCAAGTCCGCCGATGGTCCATCTTCAACGCGTAGCCGCTTAGTGGCCGACGCGCGTCGCCAGCGGATGACTAGCAGCTGGACAGATCCCCGATGGCCAGCGGGCGGAACCCGCCTTTGACAGGGAAGCGCGTACGCTTCTCTGGAAAACATGTCTCGGGCCCAGTACGGTACTGGCTGCTCTATTATGCTCGCATGTTGCGTATGATGGTCGAGCATGCTTCTCACTCCTCATGCTCCCTGGAGCCCGGGCCATCCAGGTCCAGATATGATAGGCTGGTCTCTGATGCATATTGGTCTGTGTAAGATACAAAGACATGGATCTCTTGGGATATGGGCTAGAAAGGGTATGTATATCGAGATCAAGACGAAGAGACCGGTCCGTCATACTCTTCAGGTTTTACTGTCAATATCTGGGGCCTCCACCCAGCAAACCGCACGCGGTCACCCGGAGGCGCAGGCCGCCTGCTCTCATCCGGATGCCACCTGTCCTGCGAAAATGTCACTTCCCAGTCTGCCACAATCTTGCTTGCGAGATCACTTTCAATATGAATAGCCGCCCAGGCCCGGTTTTTACATATGACTATCGTTTTCAAGATGTCGTGTCTCCCTTTCTGTCGGTGTGGATACAGTGCTTCCTTCAATGCCCTCGCAATAGGCCCGAGCCAATCGTGACGTTCGCCCCTCTTGTATCGGAGCTCTATCTCAGGGCCCATTGCTACCCATACATGCGGCCGTATATCACTAGTCTTGGGCTGTCTTCTGCGCGATCGTGAGACATGATCCTCCGAAGACGCTATCGGTGTTCTCGAGCCTGTGCCCCTCTGAACCGCTGGATTTACAGACGAGTTTCCAGTAGTCTGCTCTAGGTCTGAGTCGATCGGGGTACCAGCCCGCGCCTCGACAACAGACAACGCTGTGTCACTTTGAGGAATGGAAGAGGACACAGGACCCTCGCTCGAGTTCTCGTGCAATGTTTTCGACGCAGCCGTGAACTGCTTCTCGGTATCGGTTTGCGTTGGTGCCAATTCGCGCTGCATTTCTGCAGCATAGCTCATTGTCCCGGTAAGTTGCTCTGATTCAGCTTCATGGACACCGGAACCAGTCAAGCGTGGAGGCTCGGGGGTCAGCATGACATGAGCAACTGTAGGTGTAGATGCCGGTGCTTTCTCTTCGTGAGTTAGGGAAGGTTCTATCGAGGGCACAGCATTGCTGGAGACCGATACGTGTGCGAGAGACGTAGGTGATTCCCGGGCACGTGCATCTGCAGTCGCCACTGTGGGCCCTTCAAGAGAAGCGATGGCGAGCGGATGTGATTGAGACATTACTGACTGAGATCGCGAGTGCGAGCTCGACTGTACTGAGGAAGTAATCATGGCTGCAGCGCCGTCAGAACGTGATGTCGTCTGAGAGCCTGCAGACAAGTGAATTGCTGGGTACTCCGCGAACGACCCGAGAACAGGATCGGAAGACGATCCAGACGCACTTCCTCCTTGAGAGTCAAAGTCCGAATCGAGGTCAGCGCCAACCTCTGGATCAGGATCTGCCGGAGGCTCTCGATGTTCTGACTGAAGCGGAAGAATCTTGAAGTTGACACGGCGAGCAAGCGCACGGAGGACATCTGCGATTGTAGTGATGGTGGTACTAGTAGGTGGAAACGAGATACTGTCTCTGACATCGCGATTTGAGATCTTGGAGCGCATGAGACGTCCCACGCTCTGACTGTACGGCGGCACATAACTGAAGTCATTCCCCGGATTCAACCACGGCTCTAGCCTTGCATTGCGAAGGACGACAAGGAACTCGGTAGACGGAGCTTGCTGGCGCTCATCGTCTCTTACCTCGACTTCGTTGATCCATTCGACGAAGGGCGAAGCGCCGTGATTGAGCAGGTTATCATACTCCTTTCTCTGTCGCAGAAACTGCATCCTCTCATGCTCCGGGGCGTGGATGAGGTGCGCAATCATTGTGAGGACGTTGCAAGCTGCAGCGTGACGCATGGCATCGCTTCGCCTACAGCATGCATCATCGTGAAGAGGGATCAAACAGGATCGCGCATTCTCCTCCGTCTCACCATAGTCTCTATGTCCGGCAGAATCCATTGAGTTCACTGTCCAGGAGTTGAGAATATGCAATAGTGTATAGGGTTGGCCGATGGACTCGGGGTATGATCGCAGACCAAATCCATCTATCTCGTGAACCTCCGTTCTTTCATGGTCCGGGTAGATGTAGGACATCATCCGAATGACATCCTGACCCGCTATAGACTCTTCTTCGTCCGCATCGGAGAGAACAAGGAGTAGGTACCATCGCATGTAGAAGAGACACATGCGCGTTAGAAGGGCGTACATCGCACTATGCATAGTGATAGATGAGGTCGTTGAGCCCGACATGACGCCGCGTAGATAGCCCATCAAGGCGTCATTATCCCGCTCATAGAGACTCGCATCTAAGTATCCGTCGTAGAACCTCTGGAACAGGATACAGCACATCTGGTAACCCACAACGTCAGCTTCATAGTCCACCGTTCCGGGCCAGCACGAGCCGATGGGCTGAAAACGAGACTTGAGCTGTTCATCACGCTCAAGATGACGTATGCATTCTTCTCGCGGCATCTCCGGCATAGACGCCAACTTCGCCATCACGAACTGGAGAAGGATCTTAAGGTCTGAGTCAAGCATCTGACGGCTGGTATGCAACCACGCGAACCTGAAGCGCACAACGGAGAGGAACGCGTCGTCTTCTGTGTGCGGGTACACCGCACGCCTTTTGGGGATCAACTGCGTTGATGCAGGAGGCAACACGCCGTAACACCAATCCAACACGGCCTCGGTCAACGGTGAGAAATCTCCCTGTCTCAACATGACGCGGACAGAGTGAGACAGGCGACCGAGTAACCAATGGCCGAAAGACAAGGGTAATGTCAATGGCGTTCTGTACGGACAGCTGGTGTCAAAGATCGAGAGCAAGCTCGCCGAACAGTATGCGATCCCGAACACGGCCAACACAAACAACGAGCACCATGCGACAGCAGAGTTGATTGGAAACAGGAACAACATCAGTCCGATAGCAAAGAGAATGACAGAAAGATGCACGAGGGAAACAAGCAGATTGACGACTTCATCCATCCCGTAGCGATCAACGCCCATGCGGATGTACACGTGGTTATAGGCTCGGCTGACGAGGCTCTCGTCCAGCACGTCTCGTCTTTTGATGTCTCGAGTGTAGTCGCGAGACCACTGCTGGACAAGGGTGGCAAGAAGTGCGCACGCCAATACGATCAAGAGGCTGCAGAACCATAGGATATTCACGAGAACGGCCGAAGCCGATAACTGAAACGGTTCGGCGGATACCACATTCACGACCGCGTCTGACGTGGAATTCGTAGTTGCATTCAATAGATGTGCGAGAAGAAGGACAGTCTGATCTCCCGAGTCCGGTGAAAGCGAGTGGTAGCTCTCGATCACGAATGCCGCCACGGTCGCAGCGAAGAGGCCACTCTACGAGGCGGGGTCAGCAGAGGTATCAGTCGAAAGCGGAGACAACGTACAAAGGTCAATATGCTGCCCGTGTTACCATCCCAGTCCCTCGGCCGCTGTTCATCCTCATCTTGCATCGCCCGCATGTACGTGCCCCAGAACTTGTTTTCGGGACTCTTTCCCTTGGTGGGATCGTCCCTTTCCTCGAAGTACTTGGAGAACGTTTTGTCGAGCGCAGAGAGGAGCTCCTCGTGGTCGCGGGAAGGGCGCGACATGTATGGAAGAAAAGGTTTGACAAGTAAGTAGCCGGTACGGGTTGTGGCGGTGTGAGGGGAGCGCTCAACGCCGTCATCGATGTTGGAGGATTTCCTCCAGCAGATCGGCCCGGTTCCCGTTGGGCCGGCGTGCGCCTCGCGCGGCTCCGCGCCCGCTCGACCTCGACCGTACGTCTTTGACCGCTAAGTACGGCACGTTCGTCTTACAGTCATGAGATAGCTTCTCTCCCTGCTTGATACTACATTCGGCACGCACTCGCCGATGCTCGGCAGTTCGACGGGTTACAGCGCTTAGTACAGAAACGGCGCGCTTGATGACGCAAAGGAGAACACGATATATCACATGTAGCATATATGGGCTGTACGGTACTGTGTCCGTATCGAGCGCATAACACTGCATGTACAGAATTCGGCAACACCCTGCACCCCCAGCTTAAGCTGCATCATCTCATGGCCATATCGTGACGTCCACCACATCCCGCACCCTCCGCCAAGCATCACTCGCCATGTCCCTTCGAATCCGAACCTCCTTCAACGGTGATCCCATATCCCTTCTGCTGACCGCAAGATGTGCGATAGTGTGAGCGGATACGTCAAGTGCGGTACTTGATCGATGATCTTCCAGACTGTGTTCTTCGTCGACAAGGACCTCGAACGCGAGGATCTCAAGGTTAGGTAGAATCCTCACTCCTTCCCCGGTTTCCGACTCTGCTTCTAGCGCTGTTATGAGCCAGTAACAGTGAAAGAGCGGGACCGTGATGCAAAGTGTCTGCGGAATCAGCGCGCATGTAGACAGCCAGTACACTATGTGGGTGTACCCGGCCTGAGAGGCGTCGCGATCGGTGATGGTGAATGCGTGCACAGAGTTGAGAAGCCGTTCCGACGACAGATCAGCTGCTCCCGGCGTGTTGTGCAGAGGGTGCGTATCATGTCGGAGGATACATCGGAATCCGGGGGGGAGTGATAGCTCATCTAGCCACAAGTCAGAATCTGGCGGTGCTGGTGCTGCCCAGCCATCGCGGCGCCATGGCGCCACGGCAAACCCTTGACCTAACACGATTTCTAGCGGGCTCGGGTAAGTCTTCAAATCCCAGAGTATGAGGCGGGACAGCTCTTCAGCCACGCCGGGTGTATGACAGCTCTCAAGGTTCAGAACCATTGAGGCCGTTGGCGGGGTACGGAGACCGTTCACAAGTGTCGCCATCGCCTGATCGAGTCCATCTCCGTCACCATCCGTATCCCACCTGAGCAGTTTGAAGGATGCAGGCAACGTGCAGCGAACAACGGTATTGTCTTCGGATGGAGAAGGAAAGTTGTACATGGCAAGTTCTTCAAGTCGTGGCATGGTTGATAACAGCCTCAAGAACTCTGGCGCCGAAGATATCGGAGGACCCGGGGTGTATCCGCCCAGATGGATGTCGATATGAGTGATGCTGGACGAGAAGACTGGATTGTCTGGTCGTGCGAAGCAACCGCGGAGGGATAGTCGTTGAAGCTTGTTTGGCGTGCAGATTACATCATTGGGCAAGAGAACAGTGCGGTCACTGTATCCGTGCCAGTCATCGACATGGAGGCACAGCTTGTGCAAACCAGACGGTAGTGGACCGAGCAATGACAGAGACTGTGGAAAAACGTTCTGATGAATCCCCAGAAGCGACCAGCTTTGTAAACGCTCGATTGTAACCGGTGTTCGCCAGAGGTCCAAAACCTGGCGGGAGGTCCCGTCGATGTATGGTTGGGACCTAGTCGGAGGTCGTACCGTCATGGTCAACGGAAGCGTAGAGCCACGCTGAATGAATGCGCGAGCCAGGTCCGAGCTTAGGTCGAGCACGTCGACATCGCACCACAATGCCGGCGTCTGAAGAGCAACCTACGCGGTAGGAATCAGTACGATAGCGCACAGCAATCTAACAGTAAATCGACAATCATACCTCCCTCCACCTATGGCACACTCGCGTGATGACGGTCCAACCAGAAGTATACATCTCGGTGAGGCCAAACTCCGGTGGGGCTTGAACTGGAACACGCCGCGGGTTCCAGCCTTCACGCGTAAAGAAGAATATAGCACACAGAAGCTCCGAGGGTAAGCGGTAGGTGATGGTTCGTGCATTGCGCTGCTGTCGTACGAGACTGCGGGATATGTCCATGGCTTCCATCTCGATATCCAGCTCGTCAGAGTTGAGCGCACCGCTCTCGAATCGCAACTGCACGAAGTCCGACCATGCTTCCCTAAACAGGTCGAATCAGAGCATGATGGCGCATAAGTGGCAAACGACGTACTGTGCTGCTGTGCGGCGTCGCTGAAGGCTTGACTGGGGCTCCATTGCCGTATAAAGCGGCGTGGTAAAGGAAGGCAAATGGAGAGGTTGGTCCGTCGTCTAAGGTGCAGCTTCAAATGATAGTCAGGGTCACTGCTTGAGTATACACCCGCACAGTGCGCACCAGTCATGACTTGTGTAGGGACGCTTGAGCCGTGACGAGTACTTGATCAAGTGGCGGTATGACGCAGGTGACGGTGCGAAAATAGCTGCGCGTTCTGGCGGGAGCGCCGCTCAGCGCGCACCCAGCTCTTGCCATCAACGCCTACCTTCGCCCGATGGGTGCTACATAGTTCATGCCCATCTAAACACTTCGGGTATCACGGTTTACTGAATGCGGTTCAGAGGTCATTCATAACTTCGTGGAAGCATAATGCTCTCATGCACAAGTATATCGCCTGACGACAAACTATCAGCCACGCTGGCAGTGGTCTCCACCAACAAGGCTCTGCGTATCAGCGCTACTACGTGCACATCCACTCTACTCTACTGTACAACTGTCATGAATCACAAGGCTGCCCGTCAACAGGACGGACGCGGTCAGTCTTGCCAGTCATTCCGGACGCAAGGAGCCCAGGTGCAATGGGCGCTTGGTTGTCCCTCGTGTTGTAGGGCGCCAAGCATGTAGCTTCGGCCAGCCTGATTCAGGCAGTCAATCGACTGATCATTTCTATGATAGGTATGGGCTTGAACGCTCTCGGCTTAGAGCTGGGAGTCCTTTGAGAACTTCTGGTAATCCCAAATCGCCGCGAAAGTGGGATTCGGGAGGCGAGCGTTGCTACTGCACCTGCTTTACCCCTCCACCCCCCTTGTCTTCGCTAGAGGGGTTTCCTTGAACGTGTACCTCTGGCATGCCTCGTATAAGCGTAGATATCGACTCACTGGCCCCGCCGCGGCGTTCGCCCACCGTCTTCCGACCAGAAACGACAAGACCGCCCAATGGCCTAGTGACTACTGCCGAGGCCTACCAGCTCACCCTATTCGACTCGGAACTTTCTCCTGAGGCACTTCCAATGGCGATTGAAGAGCTAGAAGGAGCCTTGAATAGTACGACCGCGAATGGCATGCTTTCTCAGGCCCTCGACTCGACGTACGCGCTCGAATTCATCATTTCAGGTGCGTCTTGCCACAAATTCGCCGTTCAGATGCTGATTCTTTCACAGCACTCGGGCCTTCCTCATCCTCGTTTCTTCTTGATTGGATGCACCGTAATTTCCCGGCGCAAGTGGCCGATTACTCTTCGACGGCAGTAACGACTCGTTGCATTGCCCGTTTGGCGACCTATCTAAGCTCAGAGGATATGGAGGCTTATGTCGACGTCGACGTGACATCGGTTTGTTCGTGGATCCGACGTTCCGTCGATACCCTGGATGCTTTAAAGGCTATGGTCAGTAGTGATGCGTACTTCACGAACGCCACGAGGCAAGACAATCTGGCGCGCAACCGGCAAAGGGCGAGGACCCTCCCAAGTTCCGAGCCCCTTGACGTCAGACCTTTTCTCGATGTTAACATCCCTGCACCCCGATCTCTAGAAGACGCCACAGCCGCCGGAGCATCTATACTGGTCAAGCAGCGCGCTGTTTTGAAGGTATGTGTCGCCTACACTCACTGGATGCTCGTACTCATCTGCGGTATAGGAATTGTTTCAAACCTTACAAGAGGTATCAATTCAAGAACGGCTGAGAGAAGACTATCTGTTCTACGGACCGAACTCGGGCTCTCTGTCTGCATATTCGTCCCCGAGTCTAGGAAATCCCGCGTTGGAGACCCTCTGCGCTGACCTGTCTTATGAGATACCGGAGGGATTCGGGCCGTGGCTCATTGTCACAACTGACAGGGCTCGTAAAGATCTTGCCATACGTAGACGCAAAGGGAAGGTGTTATACGAGTCGGCGCTCGATGCTCTCCGGTCAGTACATTGAGATGTGAATCGTTGCTGTCAGAGTACTGACATGACGACTCGGGTAGAGAGCTATCGTACGGGTGCTTTACCGTCAACAAGATGAAACCCATCAGCAACGACAGCCCTGTTCATATACTTGAGGCACGCCTGCCGGATAACCCTCGACTAGTGGTGCGTATGCGCGACACAGATCCGGTTGTCATCTCACAGTATTCCAGTATCAGGTTCATGTCGTCCGCGATACCGGAGACGGGGTACGTCCACTGCCTTCCTCGACCTACTATGCGTCGCTCATTGCATTGACGTGTTCAGGTCGTTAAGCAGGGTGCGAGAACGCGTGAATTAACATTGAGAGGATACTGATCTGTAGCAGCGATCTTGGTGTACGGGATCTATACGCACCAAGACATCAAGCGCATCAATTGGGACAAGTACGCCAGGCAGCAAGCACGGAGAGGAAAGGCATACGTGGAAGCGTATGTGCACCATCCTCCGTATCAGCGCTCTAGCTTCTGATCGGCGCCTCGCAGTTGCCGTAAGAGGCCCGAAGGATGGAGAATGGGCCAAGCTGTCTCTCAACCCCACACCCTCGAGGACTATGCGGGTACCCTTGACATGGTGCACTCGATTGAGGATGATGAACCCGCGGATTCCGGCCACTCTGGAGATCTGACGGAGAAGGAGGTAGACGACGTGCGTATACTATTGACTCTGAAGAGCGAATGCCGTCTCATAGTACTTATGTAACTCGTAGATGCACAACCAACTAGTGTAAGCCACTATCTGCCGAGCAACGACGGATATTGGATGTTGATAACCTGTGTTAGTCTCGGCCAGCACTCGGTGCTCAACCAAAACCTTCTCGATGGTACGCATCGTTCCCCGCGATACGTGGCTCATTGTTATCTCATGCGATTGTCGCCTCTAGGTCTCGACAAGAAGCAACTGCTGGCTCAGCTCTACCATCTTTCGTACGTCGCATGCACGCGCGTGTCACCAAATGTCGCACTGACATGATATACCAGAGATGATGAGCTAGAGGTGGTGCACTATACGCAGTCTTGCCTCGTTCTAGGTCGGAGCGGCACTGGGTATCATCTACCTCCAACTGAATCGGCTTGCAACCTGAACGCTGCTACAGAAAGACGACAACGGTCTTCTTCAAGATTGCTGGCATCGAACGTGCGTGGGCACAACTTCCTGACGGACAGATGCCGCGCCCACGACAAGTCTTCGTAACGAGATCACCTCACCTTGTGCATCACGTCGAGAACGAGTTTGTCGCATTTGCTCGCAGCGAGGCTGTCGCGTCGAACGCACCTCCTCATCTGGTCTCGAGAGCGAATCAGATTCGAGAGCAGAAGCGGGAACGGCACTTCGAAGACGGCGCCTGGCGCGCGGACTTGCCTAGGAGGTTCAGCGAACTCCAGGATGAACACTTCCCACTCTTTGTGACATTTGACGACGTAAGACAAATGACTAGCCGGCTATCATCTTCCGCGACTGATGCCCGTCAGCTCTGTACAATGGTTGAGCAAGACTTCGTTGCGCAGGACAAAGCACGTCAAGCCCGAGTTCGCCGGGTTGGTGGTTTGGTAGACGCATACCGGTCGGCTGACGCATCCATCGTAACATTCGACTTATTCAAGACACATTACTGGCCTCGCATGCCGGCAAACCTCGTACGGGACCAAGGTGGGTCATTGATTCCCACGACCGGTCAATGTGACCGTAAGCCGGACTGCCTCAGATCCTGCTGTTGCATTCGGACAATTCATCGGCCACATAGAGGGATGCGAGGATACGCTTCGCAGCGAAGGCTCTCCGCTTGGCCGCGACGCGTACGAACGTTCGCGTGTCCAGAGCGTGGACTACTCTCTATATGAAGCATACGTTAAGTTGAAGAAGAAGCGTTGCGAACGTGACGTAGCGCACAGGCGGGTCGTATAGTCCGAAGTGTCCTTCGGAGGTGCTCACTTATCTTTCTAGAGCTCACAGCATCCTCAATGCTCTCAAGAATCGACGTTTCCCTGGAAAAAGGATAGACTACCTGTGAAATCTATCCGCTTTCTCTCGATGAAACGCAAGTCTGAGGGTGTCATACAGGTACATTGATGAAGTCCAGGATAACAACCTTGCAGAAGTTGCTTGTAAGATGCCCGTCCACCATCCGCTCGCAACAGTAAACCCTTGACAATACATGCCTCCAGTACTACGTTACTTCTGTCGCAATACGCGGGGGATGCTCTGGGCCGGTGATACTGCGCAGACTATCGCTCACGGCAGCGACTTCCGCTTTGCCGATCTTCGCGCGTTTCTGTTCAGGCAAGAGGTCAGTGCATCCGCTCCGCCCTGGTAGTGACATTCGGTCTGATCACCCCATCACAGCAACTTGACAGTGGCCGAATAGCTGTATGGGAGGAGCCCGAACCAGCACGTTTCTTCCATCTATCCATCAACTATCGATCTCCTGGTGGCGTTGTTGAATGCGCCCACTCGATCGTGGCTCTACTAAGTCGCTTTCCACGCAGCATCGACGAGCTCAAACGCGAGGAGGGCATCATACCCGGGTTGAAGCCCCAGGTTATTGGTCTTGCGGACAAAGGGGAGATCAAGCGTTTCTTCTGTGTGAAGGCAGAGTGAGTGACTGTCCCTTCTGTCCGCACGCATTGAGTAATTTGGTGTGAAGCGGTTCGTGCACTATAGGACCTGGGGCGAATCAGAGTATGTTTTCTCTCGCTACAGACCGATCTTGGCACTGACTGGCATCTCACCGTCTTTCCCAAAGGAATCCTTGTCCGCAATAAACGGGCACTCGGTCAGTTGCAGGGAATGGTGGGAGACATTGCTACTACCACGGCGATGTGAGTGCCATCTTGCCCACAGCATGAGCTCTAGCCTCACAGCTCGGACCATGTACAGGACGATATATCAGAGCAAAGGCCTGGAAGCAGACGATGTGCGTTGATCCTCTGATTGTATTACCGGGCCCGTATCGTTGATCATAGCACAAGGTCATCTTGTTCCGATTATGGACCGCTTTATTCACACACCTTAATACATACTCTGGACAGATAGATGGTGTCGACCGTAGGTTCAGCGCCCTCATCCTCGAGGTGAGCAATCTTCGTCGACATCTCGCCTCACAATACCGATATCATCTACACATAGCTCAAAAACCTGTATGTTGCGATAACACGGACGAAGCGTAGACTCTGGATCGTAGATGATCCTGAGTACTCCGGCCCTATGTTTGTACGTGCTACGCTTCTTATCTCGGGTAGTGCTGATGGTCCACGGACCACAGAGCTACTGGGCGCAACACAATCTCACGACGGAAGCTGATGCGACCGTCACCGTCGAGCAATTCATCGACCATTCCAAGGATCACGAGTGGAAGAGCACCGCCTTCCGCTTCTTCAAGCAAGGGCTTTACGAGCAGGCAGCGAACGCATACGAGCGCGCCGGTGATCCTCGGACCGCGCGTCTAGCACGGGCCATGGGCATGTACCAGTCTGCGTTTGAAGTGCCTGTATCCCGGAAACGACAGCGTCGTGAAGAGATAGAGAAGTCCGCTCGGGCCCTGCTGCTCTCTGCGGAGGAGATTGATGATGCGGATGATCGTAAAGGAGCAGCTGGGAAAGCCGCTGAGTGTTTCATCGAGCTCGGGGATCAGCGTCGGGCTGCAGAAGCATACGAACTGGGGCGCGACTGGTCGAAGGCCGCGCGGTTGTTTATGAAAGCTCACATGATGGACAGGGCGGTCAAGATCGTTCAGGATAATGAGGATGACTTGGATGATGGGGTTAAGCGAGCGGTGTACGACGTGGCGAAGAGCTCATACCTGGCAAAGCTGGAGGTTAAGTATGTGCACACTCACGAGCGCAACATTTGACATCGATACTGATTAAAGAGTGTAGGAAGGCCGCGAAACTGTTCGACGACGAGAAGAAGTTCGACGAGTTCTTGATCACTCACGAATTCGATACTGCGCGCGCGATGGAGTTGGAACGTCGTCACAGGTCTTCTGAGGCTGCTCAGATATACTTTGCCGAAGGTCGCATACTAAAAGCTCTCGAGTTGCTGGTTGCAGACGGGGGCAATGTCGAGAACGTGGCGCTTGCCTTCGACCTGGGCGCTGCACACCTCTATTCATCCAATTCCATCGGCTCAGCATGCAACAATCACGACGATACGCTTGATGGAGAGGTCATGGCTCTACTCGAACAACTGCAGCCGCCGTCCGACACTACAATGGAAGACGTATGCATATAGGATGCTTTTGGTCACGAGCGCGCATTGACACATGCCCTACAGATGAGCATATTTCGGGCGATTACTCATTCGGACCACGTCACGCTCATGCGCATAGCATCCCAGGCCAATCCCAGGTCTCCTAGGGATCGCGCGCGCATCCTTGCTTGCCTCAATCACTGCTTTCCGCACGACGACATGTCGCTTTTACATACAAAGACGCAGGAGAACGAGGTTCTTGATGTTCTGGCGAGCTTTCGACTCTACGTGACCACGCTGCATCAAGTTATCCTCGGCGCTGATTCTGTGATCGACGATGATTCGGCCGGCCACCTGCATAGATGCCTTGGCATTGAGCCGCATCGGGGCGACAATGCGCTTCGTATTCTGGATACCAGCTTTCTTGCCCATTGTTATCGAGAGCAACACGGCAGTGCTACCGATCTTGCTCTTCCACGGCCAGATCTCGCGGACTGCATCCGTTCATCGCTATCTCGCTATCTCAAGTGCCTGATTGATCTGGAACACAATGCCATCAAGAAGCGATCGCATATCTTTGATCCCTGCTTCAACATCTCTCTTCATGGTCGCTGCAACGTTCAACATTCGAGACCTTTTGCACACCAACTCGATCAAGCCTGGTACAACCGTCGCGTCCGCCTTCATCTCATTCAGATAGAAGTGCTGCATATCTCACACCACATACCGCATGCCGAGGAGTTTCGCGAGCGGGTCACTCAACAAAGGTCAGGTCGCCGTGCGCGTCCTTGTGACACACGCTCATCATTTCTTCGATATAGGCAGTGGCTCGCACGTCTGGAGAATGCCCTCAATCCGCTCTTGTACATCAACGGCTCCCAGTCTCTTTTGCGCGCGAAGGATATACCCGACGCAGAACGAGGGCTGTCGATTGTGTGTCAGTGGTCACTTGACGTACTCTTCTACCTCGACCCGACGAGACCAAATTTGCAAAATGCCTTCCTCGGAAACTTCTTGAATGCTGCCAAACTGGGCCTTCGACTCCACGCCCACTCTGTTGTCGGGCACCATCTCCTGTCCGTCCCATGCGCTACCAACGATTACAGGAGACGGGATTTCCGTGCTCATCCACAGTTATGGTCCGAGTTACCTGGAAAGAGGCCCTACACGATACCGGCTCTCGCGGGTTTCCTTCGTGGAGAAGGCGACCTGAATACAGGTGTTGCGTTTATGAAGTGCGTACGCTAATCTGCGGTCATGTCTGGGCGCTCTAACCGCCCGCCTTCGTGCATCTAGTTTGATCGTTGACCGGCGCTTGCCATTGGACTTCACGACGCTGTGCGATTTCATTGATAGATTGGCAGGCCTCTACGTCATGACCCGTGCTCATACCACCCGAGGGTCGCTGCGCGATGTGCTTCTGCCGAGTTCGTGGATCATTGAGCTGTGGCCATCCTTCACTCGCTTCCAAGAACGTAACACTGCCAACGTTGACAACCTGTTACGAGGGCTCGTGCGGCTTCTCGTGAACGTGTACCGCGGTAAGTCTTGTGCACATCTGGTTGCATCAGTGTACTGATTCAGCCATGCATGTGCTTCATAGGCGATGTATCTGTCACAGATGTTCGGCACCGTGCACACGACCTTTCTCCAGACGCGGCACGAGATGTGTGCATGAGCAGAATGTAAGTCTTCAAACCCTACATGGCGAACCTCCTTTGACTGTACTACGTAGATGTCGCGATCTATACCTAGGTATACATGAAGTCTACGAGTCTCCCTTCGGTATGAGTCTTGACGGTTACTTGCAGTTAGCCATAATGTGGGAGACTTCGCGTCGCGCAACCGCGTCCTGGCGAGTGTTACATCATTACGTACCGAGACGGCTCCCGGATTCATCCCTTTGTCACGCGAGTAAGCCTGAACGTTCCGACACTTTGATACACTTCTGAAATGTTCAACAGCTATCTCTTTGCCTCGGACTGGCGCGGTCTCTCGAAAGCAACAATGGAATCCTGTCGCAGGTCCATCGCTGATGAGATGATCTTGCTGAAGTCCCGGCTGACTGTGGCGCCTCTTCCACTTGAGCTCATGAGCTACGGAGTGCGCCAAGTGGTCTTCAATAGCACAGACGAGATACCTCGCCTCCTTCAGAGCTCAGGCGCACTCTCAGACCGCTTTACTAGTCATCGTCTTTCGGCGGCGGGCGGTGCCTCTCAACCGCGTTCTGCATCGTCGAGACCAATAACGGAGTCTGAACGTGAGCGTGCCGTACTCGTCCTGCAAAAGTTCTGCAGAACTATCCGTCTTCGCATACCCGAGAATCTCGTAGATGCCGCTCGATTCCGATGGACTTTGCAGTGCCGCCGTCACTCCCGCAAGATGCGCAAGGATGACATAAACATGCAGTCGTCGGGCTATCTGATGATGGTCAAGATTCATCTTCCTCGCTTGCTCTTCTGTCTCGAATGGCTGCTTGCGCGTGCGCGAGAAGAACGCGCGGCCGTCAAGCAGCGTCGTATTGCCGCAGAGCTGGAGAATGGCGATCCGGAGGAGCACTCAGTTCTTCTAACGCGCATGGAGAACATCAGGTTCGACTCGAAGTCACTCCTCTTCAGGAAGCCCGCTGACGGGATGCATATCTCGTAGACGCATCGAACGTAAGACACACGAACTACAGGCTCGCCTCAACCCGACATCGACATGGCACACAGGCGGAGACGTGGGTCAGCGTCTGAAGGAGCTTCATCAGGCCGCGAAGCAATTGCAGGACATCGCGCAAACCTTGCAGAACCGCTCCGACATTTCTTGTCCCATTCAAACGGATCTGGATCTCGCGTTACGTGGCACTCGGCGTGCCTGTACGGTCAAGTCTACAGGGCGAGGGATATGATACATACGAGCAAGAGAACATGCCATAGATACAGTAACGATACATGGAAAATAGTATGAGGGCTATGTACGAAGACAGGAGAGACAAAAGTGGGGTTGGACATGTGAGCTGACGTCGTCCGGACTCAACGCGAATGAGCGACGACCGTACGAGTATCAACGCCTCTATTGAATGTGCCAGCGCGGGTACTAAAAGCACGAGCGGCCAACATACTTGCCTGAAAAGCGCGCGCTCGGCGAAGATCCCCACTGATCCCCACCACCGTGCTCCTGGCCCCGAGCATCAGAGGTCGTGAGCGGGCCGACCGGCACGCCTTCGGAGCATTCGGCAAACTCCGATTGCCTCGCTGACCGCCAGCCGCCACAAGTCTTCTTCCCCCCATCATCTCCTCGTCCTCGTCCTCGTCCTCGCCTCATCGCTATGCGCTCCTCTCGTCTGCCTCGTTGGCGCGCTGTCATCAGGTATGTTGTGCTGAACTCACCATACGGCGCGTAGCTCACAAGCGTCTTCACAGGTTTCGCCGATGGCCTTTTCTGCGCCGATAGCTTGGTACGTCGCTATTTGGTGTGCGCCGATAATTGGTGCTAACGACATTGTTCGCCAGTGCGTTGCTCGCTCGACAACGACGTTACCGCGCCCGTGGCTCGCCCATCCTTTGATCAAGTAAACGGCGCGCCACCCCGCCCAGATTTGCGCCACATCGTCACACCATGCGGGTACGTTTCAAGCTCGTCTGGCATCATCGTGACCCTCTGTCGGGTTAATACGCTCGCATGGCGCGCGCCGCTGTTTCAGCGACGCGAATGCATCGCCCCGCGATGCTATAACGCTCGTTCGCGCCGGCTTCGGTGACCGGCTGCGCTATTCTAGTTGCCGGGTGCCCTTTCGGCTGCGGGTGGACGGCGCTTCGCGCCGTCTTTTGCGCTGTCCGTTATCATGCTCGCACGGTTCATATTCGTACTGCTTTGTGTCATGCTTTTACTATAATTATGTCCGCTATCCAAATTGGTGTATTTATTTGAAACTCTTATGTACGCGCCGAGCGCGCTATTTACGAAAATGGATCTTCTTTCCTTTCACTCCGGCGCTGACATGATCCAGTTATTGCTTTTGTCGCGGCCGTGTTCCTGAGATAGAGTCGGCCTGGTCGGCCCCTAGTGGTGGGTTGCTCTGGTTGACTAGGACATGCCTAGGGGCTAGGGGCTCTGGCACACGGCGATGAAACACATTCAGCCCATGTCATCCTAGGCCTGTTTCCAACCATCACCACATCCTAGGCCTAAACATCATGTCCTCCACAAAAGATGGCTACCAACTCCTGCCTCTCGACGACAGTCAGCCACCCTCATACGCCCAACTTTCACCCACGTTCAGAAATGTCAACACCAGAGCCATCTTGCCACGCTCATCTCAGGAGGGTATGCATTCATCTGAAGGTTCGAGCATTATAAATCAGAATGGCATTTCCGAATATTCATCTTCCAACAGCAGCTTCCAACGAACATGTCACATCTGCGGAGGACATGCGCACCCGCACACAGCGCATCACTACGGCACTCACCGCTACTTTCCGCTATATCCTGCAGGTCTTTGTGGCCCTCGGTAGGAGTGTCGAGGAAGTCGGTCCCGGCTTTGGAAGTGTCCTCACGGGCATCGCCAAGTTCTTCACGGGCATCGCCACGGGCATCGCCGACCTTTTCACGGGCATCGCCGACCTCTTCACAGTGCTCGGCAACTTTGTCAGCAAGCTTGTGCCCGTTGTTATGATTGGCGCAACAGTGTACGCGATCGCGCGTGGTGCATTGTGGCTACACGATGACTTGGTCACACATGGTGGTCATGCAAATCTGTCACCGACGTGTACGTGCATCAGTTCATCCCAGCCTTCACAGCCTCATTTTACGTACCGACAGACTCGACCCCTTCGAGCCGATGACCATGGGATAGGCACGATCGCGGGCTGAGCATTCTGGGCTTGGAGCATCGTCTCGCACAGCTACATCTTCTTAGACATGGTCGATTGTACTCCCACCTCCCATACTGCATACTGTATCACCTCCGAACCCCTAGCATGTACCTATCACTCCTCACGGTCAAGTCTACATCATACCACGAAACCGCTGGTCCATCAAGTCCTTGAGAGAGGATTGCAATCTGCGTACGACATGAAAGGATACATGCCTACTGCGACACGATCGATCTATCATAACTTCGAAGACAGGATATAATCTACTAAACAAAGGAGCAGGCGCTTCGGGCAGAGACAAACGCCAGAGTCATTCCGGCA